GTCGTCTCTGGCGGTGATCGTCGCCGATGTCTTTGCGGACACCAATCGGTCAGACATTGAGGTTTGCGGTCAATGAAAGGCACTATACGTTGAGACAGACATTCATTATGTGTTTTGCAATTGTTTTTTCCCAATCATTAAATAGTGAGTAATTTAATTAATTCATAATTAAAAGTAAATTTAATTTATATTACAATTAACTGTAAAACATTTGTAAAGCTTTATAAAACTTTAGTTTAACACAATTAAATTTGCTATACGTTTTTGGTTTTATTTATTTTTAATTACATTAATGATAGACTAATTAATTTTACAGATACTTTATTAATTCATTGACATCACAAATAAATCTTATATTAAAATGAATCTTAATCTTGTAAATTAAATGTATTGATAATTAATTAACGGTTGTTCACTATTTTATTGATGTCTGCGATTTAAATGTTGTGTTAATTTCTGTTTCGTAACAAAGCGTTGATTACAGTTATTATGAATACATTAATCACTTTATATATTTTCATGTGTTTTCAAGTGTCCTTTTAAATTTGTTTTCTGATAAAATCTTTTGTTGCAATCATTGACACCACAAACAAACGGTTTTACTCCCGAATGAATGCGTTGGTGTGTAGTTAGATGTGATTTTTGGCCAAAACTTTTGCCACAATTTTTTTCATTACATTTGAATTTCCTTTCATTTAAATGAACACAACTTTTGTGTAGAAATAAATAATATTTTGTTGTAAAACTTTTGTGGCATTCATTGAAATCACAAACAAATGACATTTCTCCCGAATGGATGCGTTTGTGTTGAACGAGACCTGATTTTGTGTGAAAGCTTTTGCCACAATTTTTTTTATTGCATTTGAATTTCGTTTCATTCAAATGAACACATCTCTGGTGTCGATCAAGATTTTGTTTTGTTTTGAATATTTTGTCGCAATTTTTTTTATTGCACTTGAATTTCCTTTGCTTTAAATAGACATAAATTTTAAAAAATTATTTTTATTGCAAAAATGAAATAAAATAACAATAATTGATTCAATGCTTACATTTTGTGGCTCATTATCGGTCGTCTCGAGCGGCGCCGCCACCGATGTGTCCACCGATTTGTGCGATACAACAGTCGGTGTCTGGTCTCCAGCGGTGCGACAATCCGTCAACTCTTCGTCGTCGGTGTCAATGACTGGTCGGTTGCGGGCGCTCTCCCTCTTAGCCAACCGACGCCTATCGGGAGTCACAGTTTGTCCGGCGGGGGGTTTGTGGACAATGTTTATACGCTCGTTCAGTATGTCTCGATTGCCATCCCTTTCCCGGCAAACAGTGCGATAAGTCTTATTCTTAGACCTAATATTGCGGATCAAAACAAACAGATGTCATTCAATTTGTGCGTACATTATATCCAATGACATACCTGTGCGACAACTTGTAGTGCGAGCGCCGGGAGTGGGGCCGATGTCGACGTCGCTGGTGAGCGCGTAACCTATCGGCCGTGTCGTACACCCGATCGCAGCGCTTATAATCGCATCGGTAGGCATAGTGTGCGGCCAACTGGTGCTCGCGTAGCGTATTGTACACCAAATAGCAATTCTCTTCGTCACACCGCTTGTAAAGGCAACGGTACGGATAGTCCACGGCGTGTGCTGTGAGCCGATGTTTGTTGAGCAGATATTCGGACTCAAACCGCCGCTCGCACTGTCCGTATCGACACCGATAGCGACTGTCCAGCGACGGGTGTTTGTACCGTAAGTGTACAGACACTTGGGATTTTGTCAAATACCGGCGGTCGCACTCCTGGCATCGGTAGGGCTCGAGTACGCCGTGTTGTGACTTCAGGTGCTGTTTGAGGTCTCGGTCGCGGCCATAGGTTTGCGAGCATTCGTCACATTTGTATCTCGTCTCACTATAGGTGATGGTATAACCCGATGCGTTGGTCGTGGTCTTAGAGGTCGTGGGCATCGATGATGTCGTGTCCGGCGATTCCCCGTCCGTATCGCTGGAAAGGTTAGTGTTTTAGTGATTCACAGTTTATGGCACACAATATATACGATACCTCTGATGAGTCAATAAGCTCTGAGGCGGTACTAATGGACCGGTCGGTGACTTATCGCCGGCCAACGACGCGATGGTGTCGAGCGCTGGAATCGTTTCGCTAATAACGTCACTGATGTCTGTGAGGGTTATGGTGACGGCCGGCGGCTGACTGACCACTCCTAACAGTGTATCCCATAATCGGTTACTATTCTCCGTGTTGGCCGGTGTGGGCACAGGTATGTCAACAACTCTTAGACCACTATTTTATAGTAAATAAAATCAATTAGTTTTTAAACGTACAGTAAATTCACGCGTAAAATGAGTACCCATTGTATGTGTTGAGCGCAGAGTTAGCACTGGAAAGGCCTGGAAGTGCTTGAGTTCCAGTGGTATCATCAGAAAGACTTGGAAGTGTTTGAGATTCAGTTTTAACAATAGCGGGCAGTTCTTGAGCCGATGTCAACAACTGGTCGTGCTTTTGATGGACAGCCCTCTTATGCTTCTGCAATATCTCTTCGGTGGTAAACATTCCGAAACAGTCCTTAAAATGGCATTCAAATAGACATAGCGTTGACACCGGTTTTGGCACCGATTGGTAAGTGAGAGGTGGGTTCAGGTGAGCCGCCGCTGGCGTATCGGTGCTGTAGTTGACGGACACCACCGGTTCGGGCAGCGAATGGTCTCTAAGTTTGTGCTCATTCAGCAGCGATTGGCTGACAAAATATCGGTCGCAATCTTTGGCATCGCATTCGTGCCAATCAGTCAAATGGTTGTTCTCGTTGTGGTCGTCGAGCGCCGACTGAGTGGCAAATCGTTGGCCACAATCGCTGTCTTCGCACTGGAAGTCCTTATGACTCGCTGTGCGCCGGCTATGGCTGGACTCGACCGGTCTGATCGTGTGATCGTCACGTTTATGGGCGTAGAGTTGCGTTTGGCGGCCAAAACTCTGGCCACAGTCGGCCCGATCGCAGACAAACGGCCGCTGTTTGCCGTGTTTTTTGATGATATGCTTTTTGATGGCCGACTTGTGATCGAAATACTGGTCACACCCGCTGTACTCGCACTCGTAGCGCACGCTCAGGTCGTGTTGGCTGCGCTGATGGCGCACGTAATCAAACGCCCGGTCGTATTGTTTGCCGCACCGCTTGACAAGTGGTCGGCGCGGGTCGTCGTAATCACACCGATATGGCTGTCGTTCGCCGTGAATGATAAACAGGTGTTCGTTGTATTCATACCGGTTGTGGCCAAATGGCTGCCGGCATTCGCGGCACTCGTACTCCCGCTCACTATCGGCCACAGTCTCGTTGTCTATCAGTTCTCCTTCACTCAAAGTACCGCTTCTTCTGCGCCGATCGCTCTGTGATTTCATTTTGGTTTGAAATACACGTTTAATCGCAAGTGTTTTGCAATCAAATCAAATGCTATGAATCAGACATTACTTGTATATGAAATTAAGTTTTTTTCCTGTGACTAATGCACTGCTTTTGCACTTATTTCATGTCTTTAGTCACAAATAAAATTCATATTTTTGTGACTAAATGTGAAAAATATTTTACTTGTGATAAACTGAACACTAATTTACTTTTAATGCCCATTAAATTATTAATAGACTATTAATATGTTTTCAATTTTAATCATTCATAGCCTTAGCACTGCTTTCTTTGTGAATAATCCCAACTATTTTACGTATTTTTAATGTTTTGCAAAAATGTTAACTTTTTGTGATTAAAAGTGATCTCTCGTTGACTGACTATCTGATCGTTTAAAACACGTGTTTTGCGATGTCTTCGCCGGTCAATAACAGGTCTCTCTCTCTCTCTCTCTCTCTCTCTCTCGAAAAGAGTGGTCAATAATATTATAAGTTGTCTCAAAAACAACTGATATATTAACATGTAATTACTTAAACTGTGCCAAAAGTTTATTCATTTATAAAAACAATAATATTATAACTTTTAGAACACAAATGAAACGTCCATTAATTCTAATAAAACTTTTGTAACTTTTATTAGAATTTTGTACTTATAGTGAGCCGTAATTTATGTACAAATACTGATAACACAAATGTGATAAGAGTTGTAAATAAATAAATAATTTGTACACAATTTAAGTGATGTTGTAATTATGAGTTAATTAATTAAGTTAATGAATTGATTGAAAAGACATAATATGTTTAAATGTCAGACATAATGAATGTCAATCTCAACGTATAGTGCCTTTCATTGACCGCAAACCTCAATGTCTGACCGATTGGTGTCCGCAAAGACATCGGCGACGATCACCGCCAAAGACGACGGGTATTAGTGATTGGATTTAATGATTATAATTATCACAATATTAGTGCTTATGAGTGCTACCCCTACCACCCCTTCCCTTCACACTAACCCATAGCCCTCTGGATCTGATTTGAGTGACAATTGTCTGTGTCTTTGCAGTCAAGCGTTGACTTACGAGTCGATATTTGAGTCGTTTGTCCGCCAAAAGTCATTCAAATGTCATTACGACGGATGCGACAAAGGGTTCGCCACTCAAAGACGATTGGATTCGCATATAAGCCGCAGACATGCCATCGACGGCAGCGCACAGTCCGGGGAACAACACTCGGCACTCGATGACAGACAACAGATACCAACGATCAATACAACTGGCCCTTCAGTCTCTCAGACAATATTCAAAACCACTACTACTTCCAGTGCCGACAGTCAATGGCTGGACATTAAGTACAATAAGTATAAGTCTTTGATTAGGACTTTATTAACTAATTTTTTTGTCAACAATTTCTCGACACTCAAGTGATTCGGACTCTGATATCGCTATCATTGGTAGAGTTCCGGCGCCCAAACGGCCCGCACGTAACCGATCGGCGAGTGATGTAAAGGCGAAACCTCTGGTGCCGGACATTATCGAGAAGTACTGTCGCATAACTGCTATACTATTTGTATTCATAGAAATGAAATATTTTTTATATCTAAACAGTGCGACTGTTGTAGACATTCATGAGCTAATACGGGACACGACTACATCTCGGGCTCCGCCGCCGGTCGACTTCAAGTGCCCATTCATTGGTTGCGGAAAACAGTTTAAAACAATGCGAGGATTAGGTCTTCATAAGAATAAGTGTTTTCAGAGGCTGAGTGCCGGCCAACCGCCGCGGCCGTCGGCGCCCATCAACACTACCACCACATCGTCAACCAATCGGTCCAAAGTGGACATACAGTGTCGAGTTTGCGGCAAACGGTACAAAAATGGACGAGCAATTGGTCTCCACATGAAGAAGTGTCGTCAGCAGCCGAGAGCCGGCCAACCGGCGCCCCCTTCAACGGCGCCCATCAACACTACCACACCGTCAGCCCCGCCAAAGCGCAGCTACTCGTGCCCACACATAGGGTGTGGGAAATCGTTCACAAACCCGGGACTCATGCACCGGCACAAGAAGTACCACTTTTATTGCGCTAACGGCCCGCCGGCCCACCGTTGCCTCCGCCCGTCCTGTGGCCTAACATTCAGAACCCGTAAACTAATGTTTCAACACTTCAATCAACACATGAAGTCCGCCAATAGGGGTGCCAAACGTCAGGCGCCGCCCGTTAACGCGCCCCCAAAGGCAGAGACCAACCAATTGGCCATTTGTTCACCAATTGGTTACTTGTGTCCGCACGTGGGCTGCTATCAAGGGTTTGCTGCTCATCAGCTACTGTACGCACACATACAGACCGTCCACATCTCCGAGAGGGGTAATAATGTCTAAAAAGGCACCGGAATTGAGTGATAACACCTTGTTTTGTTGTTTAATTACTTTACTTCTATGTTTTTTGTATTAAATTTTTTTCATTAATTAAAATATTGCTTAATTTGTTACTCATATTTAAGTTAATTATTTAATAATATTTTGCATTAATTATGATATATTTTATTATGAAATTTATAATCATTTCAATTAAAAAGATTTAATAATCAATATGCAATTCAATTGTTCTAATATTAAGATATATTGTAAAAGAATTTTGGTTATAAAGTTTATTTGTAACATTACATTAATAATAATTCATTTATTCAAAAGACATTTATTTAATTCAGTTATTAAATTTAATATATTTGTAGTAATAATCGAAAGGGTTAATTTTTGATATTGTTTAAAATGGCATGGTTAATTTGATTTGTAATTCTTTCATTTTAGAAACTTTTTCCCTCAATTATTATGAATCCAATTATGGCTTTTTATATTCAAATGTCGCTTAAGATAAGATATATTTGAAGAAGTTTTACCGCAATTATTGAAATTGCAAACAAATGGCTTTTCTCCCGAATGAATGCTTTTATGTTGAATGAGATTTGATTTTGTGTTGAATTTTTTGCCACAATTTTCTTCATTACATTTGAATTTCCTTTCATTCAAATGAACACAACTTTTGTGTCGAACTAAATGTTGTTTTGTTGTAAAATTTTTGTGGCATTCATTGAAATCACAAATTAATCTTACATTTAAATGAATATTTTTGTGTCGATTAAAGTCTGATCTCGTTTTGAAGGTTTTATTACAATTATTAAAATCACATTTAAATTGTTTTATTTCTGAATGAATTAATTTATGTGTAGTTAACTGTTGTTTAGTTGTTGTCTTGAATTGACATTTAGGCCAAAAACAGTGAAAAACGTTATAATTTCTAATATCAATAAAATGAATGTTCCTTTTGTGTTGAAATAAAAGATGTTTTGTTGTAAAACTTTTGTGGCATTCATTGAAATCACAAATTAATCTTACATTCAAATGAACGGCACTTTTGTGTTCAATCAAATTATGTTTACGCCGAAATCTTTTATTACAATTATTAAAATCACATTTAAATTGTTTTATTGATGAATGAATTGATTGGTGTATATTTAAATCGCGTTTAAATTCCGCTTTATATTGACATTTAGGCCAAAAACAGTGAAAA